TAAATGTACGCCGACAAACCTTGTACAATCCTAGGTTTGTATGGATGATATTTATTAACGTCCAGTATTCGATGAGCGGATGCTTTTTCTAATCGATGCTGTGGGATTATTATTAGTGTATTGTAATACAGCATCAATTCTCTTCTCATTTTCAATAGCATATTTATGATTTCTGGGTTTTTCAAAACTTCCATAATTTAACAAAGGAGAATGGGCAGTTTTGCCCCACTTCCCAATAGGATTAAGGTATATGCCAAATGAAAGATATCGGTAAGGAGAACATTTGTTTTTATTCTGACTTCTCTCAATTGTCTGTCCGTTCCGAGTTATACTTAAGTTGAAACCATATGGAAAATTTTTTTAATATTGGTTTTCTGAAAAGAATATTGTGATAAGAAGTTTTGCCAAGCTATAGATGCATTAATTTAATTATAGTTTAGCTGAAATCAGCTACGGAGAAACTGTTACCATAGGGACACTTATCATTGTGACAACTACACAAAAACTCAAATCTCGAATTGAAAAAATGCATAGTTGCCAAATTATTGATGATATAATCTAACTTTAGTCTAGCTGAAAGGCATTTTTCATGCAAGCCATGTACTAGCTAGCATGAGAATTGTCTTCTACCTATTACTTTTATTTTGTATTGATATTATATTGTAATAAGTAATTAAAACGGTTGTAATGTTTAAAAAATTTCAATGTTAATATTTTTTAAATAGAAACTTTTTGAAGCACACTGTTAATTCCAAAATATTTTTTTAATTAGAGCTCCAATAGATATTGATCTTTCTGTATAAAAGTAATTTGAAAAAATAATGTCATAGTCTAGACTGACGCGTATAAGATGCCCTACCCTGTATGTGCTACAAATGGCTTTATATTCGTTCCAATATAAATGGGGTAATAATATTTATGATCGTATTATGTTAGTTCATTACATTGGTCTCGAACCATTGGTTCCGGTCCTTTGGAGAGCATGTGTGGGGCTGTGTATCCAACACGTCGAGGCCATTTGGTAAGCAATACACGTGGCGAATAAAATCCTCGACAGCATCATATGAGATACCGGGATATTATAATTGTTCATATATTACTAAGACGTGATAATTACTATTATTTTCCAGTAATAAGCACTACAATAACAAAATGTAAGCTCTGGCCTATCGTGCAATGAGTTACATTTAGGATGGTATAACTCGCAACGGACAAGTAATTGAGATGTGTCGTAATGAAGAGAAATGTTCTCCTTAAAAAGATCTTTCCATTGATATATAACCTATCCTTATTGGAGGTGGGGCAATTTCCTATACATTTCTGCCCATTGTCCTTTAATAACAGATCCCTAAAACGTCTTGCGTTTGGTTGATGCCGTTCAGAAAATTTATTTTTATAAATTTCCGCAGCCGCTGTAGAGTTTCTGTGGGCTACGAAGTAAATTTCTAACATGTCTATATAATTTTTCATCATTGGTATACTTAAGAGCCATAATATTTGAAAATAATAATGTAACGGAAATTAAATTTAACACAAAAAAAAACAACGAATTGAAAATGAACGAATAAAATCTAATGTTAAACCAACTATAATTTGACAGTTATAAAACATATTTTTGGCTCGCCTACTAGACCAAATTGAGCAGAGCAGCAAAACTAATTAGGAAATTTTTAGATTTGTTTATTTTAGCATTCATTTAAAAGAAAGTACCATGTTATGATACATTTTTAAAAAGGGAAATAATAATTCTATTTAATGCAATAAAAAATCAATATGGCGTCCATAAGAAAAACTAGGTTACAGTCAATATCTCGAAAATGGAAAAAGAAATTCTTTTGTTTTATTTTTTATTGTAAAGATCTTAAAAAAGTGCCCATAGAATGTTTAGACCAAAATACCGTATGTCCTTAAATAATCGAGATACAGAGGACTGTCAAAAACCCACCATTTTGGTTTTTCGCGATTTATTCAAAAACCAAAAATAACTGACAAAATGTAATAGCAGTTCTGAAATGGTAATAGAATCCTGAGAAACATTGCCTATTTAACCGATTTTGTAGCTCTTATAATAACCGAGATAGCAATACATGCAGCACCAATCTGGGACACACTGTATATATTTGATTTGTTTTCACATCGTCAAATAATTTTAATGGAATTCATTCATTAGCTGGGTTGTAGGGGCGGTTTCTCCATTGGTTCATTTGTGCAGTGAACACCTAGTTACATTTCATAAAAACACATTATTTTAAAATAATAACAAAATATTATTTCATTTTCAATAATTTTATTGTTTTTATACGTGTTAATATATATTTTTGCGTACGCCACTGCGCTCTGGCACGCTTTTATAAGTGAGCCCGCGGGAGTGAGAAGCATTCTTGAAAATCTTTAGCTAAAAAGAGATGTCACACGATAATAGATCCCTGAATTGTAGTGAAACAATGATAAAATAACTTAAATCAGCCTAATTTGCGCAACGCACACCGTGACGTCACAAAGTAGGCGGGGCCATACCAATCTTTCAAATCATAGATATAGAGAAGCAATGACGGTACTAAACGTCTCACTTTTGTATTACTACAAAAGACAAAGGAAGTTTTAAAAAAGTATGACAATTTTATTATTTTTTTTTTCACCATATTGAAAGTTACTTCTTGCTGGTTAAACTATAGGGCTATTGTTTGTTAATATGTTAAGTAAACTTACAATGTAACTTTACTCAGAGGTGAAAAGATTGACCCTTAAACAAGGATAATTTCTTGACTATATGAATAATTGTTTATTTTGAAGGTTGTCCCTTGAAGTTATAGAAAAATTCCCTATCTATAAATTCCAGAGGTACTGATAAACACTGTCAGACTTACATTACAGTTTTGAACTGAATTTCTTGTCGAAATATAATTATTATATGTAATTATGAAACACGAAAAGTGTTCAACCAAGATTCAGTCTGCTCTACTATAAAGCTGACTAGAATGACAGCACAGTTTATCTTCGGAGTACTGATATACCTATTAAATAATTTTCGACTCTTTGACTTTATCATTCTTTTAATGTACCTATTTTTTAGGCTATTATGTTATTGTTTTAGCCTTGATAATATTATTGTTCTACTCTTCACACAGTAGTCTGGGAATAGTATTATAGGTTTACTCTGTCCGATGTCACGGTTTTTGTGAAAAAAAGTTACAACTTTACGCACGGTAGTAGAAAAAATATAATTTAATCGAATTGTCACAAGCACACTGACATGACAACCATAATTGTTTAATTGTTATCAAGAATATACCGCTGAGTGTCGGTTCTGTACACACGACAAAATAGTGCTCTCATATAAAAGCAAATTAAATTAGTTAAAAAACAAAAGTTTAGTGTAAAAGTCATATCAGTCCATACAGTAAGAACCATGCTTTAATTTGAGAAAACTGAATGTTGCATTAGACTAACGAATATAGTGTAAAAAACGATGAAGTACGAGAAGATATATTAATTCAGAAAGGCGTAAACAAAAAAATTGATGATCTTAAATAAAATGCAGTAAGTCTAAAAGAGGAAAAATAAAACACTATCTACATGAAAAAATAAAGTATATTGAAAGAATAAACAAACATAACACTATCACAGAAACTTTTGTGACAATATCATAATATATGGATTAGAAGAATAAAAAAGAAGAAGAAGAAGAAGAAGAAGAAGAAAGAAGAAGAAGAAGAAGAAGAAGAAGAAGAAGAAGAAGAAGAAGAAGAAGAAAGAAGAAAGAAGAAGAAGAAGAAGAAGAAGAAGAAGAAGAAGAAGAAGAAGAAGAAGAAAGAAGAAGAAGAAAAGAAGAAGAAGAAGAGAAGAAGAAGAAGAAGAAGAAGAAGAAGAAGAAGAAGAAGAAGAAGAAGAAGAAGAAGAAGAAGAAGAAGAAGAAGAAGAAGAAAAAAAGAAGAAGAAGAAGAAGAAGAAGAAGAAGAAGAAGAAGAAAAAGAAGCAGAAGAAGAAGCAGAAGAAGAAGAAGAAGAAGAAGAAAAAGAAAAGAAGAAAAAGAAGAAGAAGAAGAAGAAGAAGAAGAAGAAGAAGAAGAAGAATGAAGAAGAAGAAGAAGAAGAAGAAAGAAGAAGAAGAAGAAGAAGAAGAAGAAGAAGAAGAAGAAGAAGAAGAAGAAAGAAGAAGAAGAAGAAGAAGAAGAAGAAGAAAAGAAGAAGAAGAAGAAGAAGAAGAAGAAGAAGAAGAAGAAGAAGAAGAAGAAGAGAGAAGAAGAAGAAGAAGAAGAAGAAGAAGAAGAAGAAGAAGAAGAAGAAGAAGAAGAAGAAGAAGAGAAGAAGCAGATGAAAATCCAAAATTATAGAAATAGATCTTTATTTAATCAATTCAACCCTTTAAGTGAAGCTGACGCCACTAGAAATTAATAATATATACAGAATAGGTAAAAATAAAGAATTCGTACATTCTATTTTTCTATCATTTGTGACAGTATTAAAAAAACAAGACACTTTACTAGATAGTAGAGCATTTCTTTAGGATCTTTAATGTACTAATATGACTTTCTTGCAGCAAATGAGCCAATATAACAAAGCTAAACCGCTAAGGCGGTCTACTAGCATGGTAAACTTTTTGAAAGTTTTTAAAAGCTTAAGAGTAGAGACTTCTTTCTGATGTTGCTATACAGAAATTGTAAATGTACAAAGAATTTGAAGACATATTGGATAACAGAAGGGTAGTTTACAGAGTGATATTTATTTATAAAATACAGCTATTGATGTTCCATTTTTATCATTTTTATAAACCAAATACATTTTAAAATATTACCCAAACAGCCATTAGACATCATAAAACATTTTATACGGCAAATTTTCGAACAAACTTGGTAAGAAACTAATCTCAAATTTTATAATCAGTATTCATGTTTTGATTGGGATATATATTTTGACTATATGGAAAAATAATAAATATTATGTTGAACAATAAAATTATTTTTATTTTATTAATTTATCTTCTAAATTTCCATACATTACCTGTTTTAATTTCACTTTCAATTACCAAAGCGACACTGTTTGCTTTATCTTAGGGCCAATATTTTAAGAATTTATTATTATATCCACTTATACCACGGTTATGAAATTAAAATAAGCTATGCACAATTAAACTATTATAATAAATTGTAATTTGATAACAATATTAAAGTGTTTACTTATTCTAGAATGTAACTCGTTTACATATTCTGATAATCTAAACCGAATTATTATCTGATAAGATATGACAGTGGGCACACTACACTTAGACCAGACCTTATCAGGTCCTTTGTGGTAGCAAAAATTACAAACAAAGGTTCCTTGAATTATAAGTCAGGAGATATGTCAAAATAGGATAATTTACGAGGAGTAGGTACTTATTTTTCATAACGTAATTAAGACCCATCGTTGCTTCTTAACCTGTATGTATCCTGTTCATCGTTACAAAAATTAAAAAAAAGTTTATTGCGTGTGTTTTCTTAATTTCTCTTCAATTTCCCAAAAACTATTTTTTTCTATAAGTAATTCCATCGTTATTTTACACAGTTCTTCAGCAGGCTGTAAATCTCCGCCTAGCTCTTGAGGAAGGCATTTTTTTGGAACGATTTTGAACAGTTCTTCTTGGGAAAGACCCTTTGGATGCATGTATAACTAAAAGAAAAATTGAGTATTATTATGTTGCGTTCAACTTCTAAAAAAGATAGTTAATAGAGGTTTGGTTCTCTGTAAATTCATTGGATAAAGCCGATGCGGTAGGACTTTACTGAGTTTACCTCAAGAAACTTTTCATCCATGAAATGGAACGCTGATGAAGCATACTTCGGTTTATTTACTTATTGATGGGAGTGATTTATTTTATTTACATATGTACATTGAGCATAAATAAGTTAAGTTTTATTCCCTAGATTAAAATCCAGGGGATTTTTGCATTAATTCCTAAACTAAACTGAAAAATCTTTGATAGGCACACGAAGATACTCGAATTTTGGAATAGAACATATTTTTATTATAAAAATAACCTAAAATATATTTTAATAAATTAAAAGAAAAATAATATATTAAAACAGCATATAATTCAAAAAAAGATTAAAAAAATAGCAAAATATTCTGAAATAAAATATGATTCGAATAAAAAATATTAATAAACATAAAATTCAACAAAAATAATACATGTGATTTTTTAGACTAATTCATCATCAGGGTCTGTTGGTCGTGATCTTACAATATTGTTACAGTGGTTTTTGATATCACAATTTATTTCAATTTAACTTTACAGTAACTCAATTCAACTTTAACAATAACTATACAACTGATAACATTAACATGTAACGTTTATCATAAAACTGAAACTCTGACGTCAGGTCGTCGACTTATATAGCTTGCTTGACCTTCTCGAACCTTCTCGAACTGTCATCTAGAATATTCTTGTCGGGTAATGACATTTCTGGACATTTCTGGAATATTCTATCTTCTTTTACTTGTACTTTTACTTATGGCGACCGCAACACACTGTAAAGCGATGAGTAACATTCCACTTCTTTTTCTAGCTGTACGTTTTCTATGATAGCCGCAGGCTACTGCAGGGTGCTGCGTAACATTGCTCCGTTCTCTCTAGTTATTCGCCCCGAATAACTTGATTACTGGGACCTGGTTGGAGCCAACGGGGAGGACCAGGACAACGCTTTGGCGCTAACTTTTCAACGTGAACTATCTTGTGTTTACTTCCCGCTGACAACTGAATGCAGTAGATCAGGTCGGTAATTTTCTTGAGGACGATGTAGGGGCCTTCCCAGTTCCGTTGCAGTTTCTGACAAAGTCCTTTTCGGCGCTTGGGATTGTACAGCTATACTGGATCGCCTCTCTCAAAATGTGTCCCTGTAGCATGTATGTCGATTCTAGCTTTTGCTTTATCGCTACTAACTTTCAACCGTTGCCGAGCGAATTCGTGTACCTCTCTAATTTTTCTCTTAGGTTCTGTATGTACGTGGGAGGTGTACGGTCCTCTTCTTCACCAGGAGGCTGCCTTCCAAAAAGAAGATCGTGGGGAAGTTTCATCTCCCTTCCAGTAATCATCATGGATGGAGTATAATTCGTCGTTTCATGTTCAAAACTTCGGTAGGCTAGCAGAAATAGAGGAATTAAAGTATCCCAGTCTTTTTGATTATCAGAGGCGAACATTGAAAGATACTGGCATATCGTTCGGTTACGTCTTTCTACCATTCCGTCGGACTGTGCGTGGAGAGGCGTAGTGCGGGTTTTCCTGATACCTAATAGTTTCATCAATTCTTGCCATAATTCGGATTCAAAATTTCGTCCTTGGTCAGAATGTAATTTCAGTGGGACTCCGTGTCTTGCAATGACGTTCGTCATAAATGCTTCCGCAACTGTTGTCGCTTCCTGATTTGGAATAGGAACTATTTCGGGCCACTTTGAAAAATAGTCCATAACAACCATCAAATATGTGTTTCCTCTTTCTGTTAAGGGAAGTGGTCCAAGGATATCTATGGCGATTCGTTCCAAAGGCTCTCCGGAAAGGTACTGTGCCATTTTACCTCGACTTCTTGTTTTGGGCCCTTTTCTGCCATTACAAAGGTCACATTCCTTACACCAATCTTCTACATCCCGTCGGCAATCGACCCAATAAAATCTTTCCCGAACTCGTGCAAGTGTTCATTTAGTACCAAAGTGTCCTCCTGAACGGCTGCTATGAAGCTCCTCCAATACATTTCTGACCTGTGATTTCGGCAGAATCACTTGGCGGACCACATGTACTTCATCGGGGCTCTCCCACTTCCGGTGCAATACACCATCATGAAGAAACAGGGAATCCCACTGAGTCCAGTACCCTTTAATGGTTCCAATATATTTGGCTATTTCTTGCCATGTAGGTCTAACTCCATTTCTGAGCCATTCTCGGACAACCTTCAAGTCATTGTCTTTCTTTTGAGTCTATCTTAGGCTTTCAAGGGTGATTCCGTCTTCGTCGTCCTCTGGCTTGATAGTGGTCGCCTGTAGACTAACTTCTTCAACCAGCTCCTCTCGTTCTTCAAGCCTTTTACAGTACCGGCATTGTCGTTATAAACAGGGTCGCCTGGAGAGAATATCTGCGATGCTATGGAGACGTCCCCTTCGATGCACTATCTTAAAGTTATATTGTTGCAGTCTTTCTATCCATCTAGCAACTTGTCCCTCAGGTTTTTTAAAATTCATCAGCCACTGCAAGGCACTAATGATAAAACTTCTGTTAAAAAGGTAAGTATGGAAGTGTTCAAGGGCTTTGACAATAGCTAATAGTTCTTTCCTGGTGACGCAATAATTCTTCTCAGCTTTTCCCAAGGCCTTACTAAAGTAAGCGATTACTTTCTCTTCACCCTCTTGTTCTTGGGATAGTACGGCACCCAAGCCGTGTTGGGACGCATCACAGTCCAAAATAAATTGTCCTTATTCTCGAGGATAGGCTAGGATGGGTGCTGTGGTCAATCGCTTTTTCAACTCGGTGAAGACATTTTGACAATCCGGCGTCCAGTCAAATAAACTACTGTTTTCAGTTAGTCGATGAACGTGTTTAGCAATTCGGCCAAAGTCTTTGACGAATTTCCGGTAATATGAGCACAGTCCAAGAAAACTTCTAATTTCTCTTTTATCTTTTGGTTTAGGCTAATCTTTAATAGCGATCATTTTCTCCGGATCAGTTTTGATTCCTTCCGCAGAATAATAAGCTTCCGATTGGAATAGTAAACATTTATTGAATTGGCATTTCTTAATCTGTCAAATAATTCACTCAAATTTGTTAGATGTTCATTAAAAGTTTTTGACATGATCATTATGTCATAGAGATACACTATACTCTGTTTTTAAACTATACTCTGTTTTTAAACTAAGAGGAGCGATTTGAATTTAAGTTGGTAATTCTGTAGCCTTCTGATTGGTCAGATTACAGTCAGTTTCACACATTACTTTTTAGCATGAACATCAGCTAATAATTGATATTGTTGACAGTTCTGACATTTTATAATTTGATATCTCATGCATTACGTTTTTTACTTTATTTCGTAAATAATAGTTCTTCAGTAAGCAATTGTATTGAAAATCTACAATTATGGATCCTTCTACACTGAGTACTATTAAAGGTAGTAATTCCTGAAAAGCCTTACAAAGAAAGGGAAGAAACCTTATTGTTTTACATGCTGATTGTGAAGGTTTTCTAGAAAATGCATTATTGGTTTTTGAGGGTAAAAAGATGGAAGATTACCATGAAGAGATGAATTCCGAAGTATTTTAGAAAAAAATAATTTTATTACTGATTTTTTAAAACTAAAAATTGATGAATTTCTAACCAACATGATTAAAATATTCAAGCGCATTTTATTTATTAGAATAGAATAAAACTATTTACAAAATTGTTATAACATTTAAAACACCATCTACTACCTTAGGGATAATCTTAATTTGGTACAATGAGTTAACATTACTTTCACAAAAAATATTTTAAAAATACTTAAAATTAATACATAGGTATGTATGAATAGTTCACTTTAAAAAATATGTCTTGACATGTAGTGTTATGAAAATGTTGGTTCCAGTTTTCAAAACAAATTCTGACTCATAGGCCTGTAAACTTTTGAATGCCTTTATTTGCCCTCTAGCGCATTAACCATGGGTTAACTCTAAATAAGCCATAACATCCACATTACTCATAGAAGAGATAACTGTTACTGTGTGATCCACTAGTCATTCACTGATTAACTTTTACTTTTTATACCTATAACAAATATATCCTTAAAAATGTAAACAGATCTTTATATTTTATACTAACCTGGCTACATCTGGATATTCCATTAACAATTTTCTTAAATATTTAATATCCATTTTAAAAAGATCATAGTTATTCTCAAAATGTCGATTTCAAAAGCAACAAAAAAGTATTTCTGACATCAATCAACAACCATATTGACTTTAATTTGACAGTGACATTTCGTTTTAGACACACATTTCAGATCACAATAATATGAAATTTGCGACCGTTGTCTGGGACCAATTAAAAAATTACTTCTATGACATTTATTCGTTTCTTAACCGCTCATTGGCCGTTCACCGACTAAGGCCGACAAAGATAATTATTTCATAAATTTTGAACACGACTATATTTCGAAACTCGCTTTTAGTAACAAATCTAGTTACTTTTCCCTGTGTAAATGCGTCTTTTCAATTCGCTCCTCTTAGTTTTAAAACAGAGTATAGGAGGAGCGAATTGAAAAGACGCATTTACACAGGGAAAAGTAACTAGATTTGTTACTAAGGGGCCTATTCAGTAACTCTGAACGACGTCGTTAATAGACGATAATCGTTCACAGACGACTTTTCTTATTCAGTAGACAACGATTGTCGTTGAAAATAGACCAATATGGTTATAAAATTGTCGTTCATCAACGGTAGCCACAGAGCTGTCGTTAATGATATGAAGTGTCGTTATAGGGCTTTTTGCATTCCCTCTCATTTTTCATTGTGAATCAGGATGTGTTCTAAATAATAGAAGCACTTTTTTTACAAATTTTACAACTAAATTGCCGTCTACCTAATACAGCAAGTACAATTTGTAAGGAATTTTTTCTAATTTATTTAATTATTTTAAAAATAAATCTGATTCAAAG